TTAACATTAATTAATTATTAATTACACTATAAATGACAATCAATGATTTTCGTCCATCAACGGTTGAGATGCGGTGTAAGACTTGTTAGTCTTACGCTGGTGTTAAAAGAACCTACCCCTATATATACACCATTGTAAAAGTTATAGAGGCAGGATATTCTTACACCGGTGTAAAAGTTAGAATTCTTACACTCAATCTTGACAATTGATCCACTTGTATCCAATGACTCACATTACTAAAAAAATTAGAGTCCTTAAATATAAGTGGGATCAACAGACAATATTGAGAGTGTAACTTACACTGGTGTAAAATGATTCTGATCCATATATATATTTATATAAAGTTGTAGAAACTATGTTTAAAATATACATGTAATTAGAAGTACACTTTATATATGATAAGATTGGGCAAAAAAATTAATTTAATGTTTTTAATAAAATAATTATGCACTTATTACAGTTTTGGGAATAAAATAATTACGCATTTATTTTACGTTTGTGATTTAATATAAAAAATAAATGAAGATTTGATGTGTGATTTAAATTACAAAAATAATTTTTTTTTTTTATTATAAAATTTTTTTGGTTTGTGATTTAAATTAAAAATCAATTTAAAAAATCTGTATTAATAAAGGAAATAATTAAATAAATATTCTAAATCTCTAAGAAAGAAGGATTACCTGATTTAAATTAAAATTATATTTGTGAGAAATAAAATATATCAAATGAGATGTCATTGCGTAGATCTCGAAAAGTTATGTGGAATAAAAAAAAAATACCTGATTTGGATACCCGAGTCAAAAGTTATGGCCTTCAAAAGTTTTATAATTAAATTATTATTTTTTTGAAAAAAAAATGACACGTGTCAACACATGATGAGTGACGCCCAAAAGGAACGTCATATTGTGCCGTAGATCTGTGATTATTTTCAAAACTGTAATAAATGCGTAATTATTTTATTAAAAAGCATTAAATTAAATTTTTTACCGATAAGATTGAGTGTCGCTAGTATTATGCTTTTCTTAAATACAAGAAACGTTTTTTAACGTTTCATTGGTCAATTTTTCTTAAAAAATTGCTCTCGACTTGATCTTATTAAGGCAAAATCAATTTAGGATTTCTCCAAAAACAAAAATGATTAAGGATAGGCTTACGGCATAGAACAAACTTAAATTATCCAATTAAATTTGGCTCAAACAATTTTTTAAATATTTACTATTTGTTTAAAACTTTTGGTTATCTCAAGAATGAAATTTAAGGGGAAAATGCTGTTGTGATATTTGATAGGTTAAAAAATAATTCATATTTTGTCAAAATAAATTTAATATAAACTAGAGTTTGTTGATCAAGTCACGATTCAATACTTTTGGGTCGATGCAGCATGTGTCGTTTCTTATGTAATAAATCAAACATTGATTACGCCTATTCTTAAGAAAATTTCCTATTAACTTTTCAAAGATAATAAACCTAACATTGCATATTTTTATGTGTTTTTTTTTTTTTTTTTTGATAACATATTTTTATGTGTTTAGTTGCAAATATTATGTGTTGAACAATGATAAGGATAACCTAAATAAATTTGATGCTAAAGCCAACGAACACATATTTTTTGATTTTTTTTTTTTTTGTAAATACATATTTTTTGATTATTTACTTACTAGTAAGACATATAGAATTTATATAAAAGAATCATGACCATTGAAAAATCCATTCATGACTATTTCTTGTTTATCCAGTGAAGTTTTAGATCTTAGAATTTGATCTACTTAAAGAATAGTAAATTTGATTCTTAAGATTCACAACTTCTAAAAAAGTTTAAAAAATTCAAATCCAAATGTTGATTAATTTAGGTCTATTAGGACTTTGGAATTTAATTGATATTTATTATAAATAAATAAATTTTCCGCAAAATGTGAATCATCTTACTTGCTTCTAGGGGTGCTAAACGAGTCAGGGGTCTTTGGCTCGGCTCGTGAAGGCCTGAGCTTACATGTCTAAAATTGATTGTTGGACCCAGGCTTGAACTTGTATAAAAGCTCGTTTAATAAAAAGGCCTCAGGCTCCAATTCAAAAGCTCGGCCTTAGAGCCTCTCAGGTTTGCCTAATATATATATATTTTTTTTTATATTTTTTATACTACCTGTGATAACACTCTCTCTCCTCAATTAAGACCAAAGCTCAGCCCGTTAAGACCAAAGCTCAGCTCGACTCATTAACACTCCTACTTGCTTCTCTTAATTTTACTTTTTTCGATAAATACTTAGTACTATTAATTACCTATTCATATTTATTATTAATTTTGTTAATTATAATTTTTTTTAATTATGTCCATTAAACTTTAATACGCAAAGAAAAATATATTAAGTAAAAGAAAAATAAACGACAACACTACATTAAGTAAAAAAACATATAATTTTTTTAGATAGAATAGAAAAACATCTAAACGCCAACACTATATAATTTTGTAATTAAAAATAATTAATTGAGATATAAACTAAAAGTGCAATAGCCGCACTTATTAAAGGTATGTAATCGTTTACGAAAAAAGAAAGAAAGGTATGTAATCTTTTGCTAGGGGACTCAGACCGGTGTTGACTTTTGAGTTTTTACAATTCAGTTTTCCTTGTAGGGACAATAACCATATTGTCATTTTTTGGGCAAAAATATATCTGATTGTCACGTCCGAAAAAATTTTGTCAAAATGTAAAGTCACAATCTCGCTGGTCTGACAAGTAGGAATGGATTGGACACGTGTCAGCGTTTAAATTGAATGGTCAACCATTTTCGCTGGACTGCCCAGCTAGAATGACAGGATGCTGAAACGTGGTAAAAGTACATGCATTCTCTGGATGTCTGTATTTTTGTCATGTGTCAGCATTCTGTCATTCTAGCTGGGCAGTCCAGCGAGAATGGTTAACCATTCAGACGCTGACACGTGTTCAGTCCATTCTCGCTCGTCAGACCAGCGGGATTGTGACGTAGCATTTTAGCAAAAAAATTTCCAGACGTGGCAATCATGTAAATTTTTATTAAAGGGGTGGCACAATGGTCAATGTCCCATTCCTTGTATTGTATTTGGAAACACGAAATAAATAATAAATTAAGGAGCGTTTAGTAGGAGAGAAATTTTTTTTGTCCGGAAATCTCGAATTTCATAAATATGATTTTTACATTTAGTTTACGATAATATCTTAAAATTAAAAATTTAAAAAAATTCAGTTTTCCGGGAATCCCCGATAATCCCGCGTATCAAAGCCCTAAGGGTTTTCTAAGAATTATTTTGTAACGTTGTAGAGATTCGTTTTCCATACTTATCTTTTTTCTTTTTTTCATAAATTATGGGTCCCACGTAATATTATGTTAGGAAACTTTACCATGTTATGTTGCATGACAAACAAAAACCCCATAAATTAATCTAAAAAGGAAAAACAACAAAGAAAACTATTATAAAAAGGATTTTATGTTTATCATTTAACATAATATAACTTCACTTTCCTACACACACATTAAAGAGGTGTGGTCCACATATTTTTCTTTCTCTTTTATCATTCCACTTTCTCTCTCTTTTTTGATGTGAGAGTTGAAAATAACACTTACATTATATTACATAACACTAATAAAACCCATATAAAAAAACTGCTACTTGCAAAATTATTAGTGTGAATTTAATAACAATTTTGCACCTCTTGATTAGAGGGAAGCTTCCTGTTTTCACACTGTCCCACTTGACAATTTAAATATGAACATAATGTAAAATGTTTTTTTTTTTTTGGGTAAAATCTGCTTTATCAATATTATGGGGCAATTTTTGCCACGAGCAATATCCATAGTAAATACTTTGCTATATTTATCATTGTAAAGACAAAATTAATTTAGGACAGGTTTATGGCATAAAATAAACTTAAATTATTAAATTAAATTTGGCTTAAACAATTTTGATATATGTACCCCATCATTTAAAATTTTCAGTTATCTAAGGTTACAATTTATGAGAAAAATATGTGTTGATTGGTTTTTTTTTTTTGGTGAAGTGTTGATTGGTTATTTGTTTAGCAAAAAAATTACAAGTGTTTGATATTTTGACCAAAAAAAAAAACCTTAATTTTTTTTTTGGTAAACAAAAAAAACTGATAACTCTTCCGTAAACGGTGAACACTGTTATTTGATATCTTAATTATCTATTTATATTTGTTATTGTTTGCTTTTAATTATAATTTTCAAATTATTTGCAATTAAACATGAAAAACAAAGAAAAATGTAATTAATATAAGCAGAAAAATATTTATATTTGTTAGATACAATAGAATAATGACTATTTCTCCATTCTTTAAATGTTTTACTTTTTTATATTTGTGCCAAAATAAAAAAAAAGTTAACATTTTGAAAAAGTTACTAATAGTGTGGCAAATTACCTAATGCAGCAATAATTTCATAGTCAATGGATTTTCTTAACATAATTACATAAAAAATCACAATCATTTATTGATGAATTAATAGTCATAATTTTAATAATAAAATTTATAAAATGGGGTAGAAAAATAATTATTTTAATTGTTAATTTATGAATGATATGACTCGAAGTAGTTTTTTTTTTAAATGATCATTACACATAATAAATTTTAATTATTTATTGATAGATCAACGATGATGAATTAATTTAAATATTTTTATTTATTTATTTATAATTTTTATCACTAAATTTATAACCATCAATTTATCGTCAAATGATTAACATTCATAGTATAATCAAGTTATGACAAAATTAGATATGAATTGTAGATATATATATATATATATATATATATATATATATATATATATATATATGACATGAGTGGAATATTAAGAAATTTCACGTGCTTCCTTTGATCCACGTGGTTTTTGAACTGCTATTTAATTTGCAACTCCGTTTAAGGTTGCAGGCTATGCTACTTCTAAAGCATAGCAATAAGCTGTTGTTGCTAACAACGATAGTATCTCCCAAGAACTGTAACGTAGGCATGCTATGTAAAACAGCTACTCACAGTTTTTCTTCATGCCGCTTTCAAGAAACTTGCTTGCGGGTTCTTTCTTGCTGCAATTCACACTCCCTCAAGGAGGGAATTTGTGTTCATAGCCCCATAATCAAAGTGGGTCTTCAAGATGACTTGTATTTGAACAACAATTTGTTATCTTTATATGCTAAATGCTTTGGAATTGGACAAGCACGCCATTTCTTTGATGAAATGCCTTATAAGGATGTTGTGTCCTGGACTACGGTTCTGTCTTCTCACACCAGGACTAAGCATCATTTTGAGGCCCTTGAATTGTTTGACATGATGCTAGGTTCTGGTCAATACCCCAACGAGTTCACCTTGTCCAGTGCCTTAAGATCTTCTTCTGCTTTGGGAGAGTTTGAGCGTGGGACTCAAATTCATGCCTCTGTGGTAAAGCTTGGGTTAGAGCTGAATCCTGTTCTGGGTACTACTTTGATTGATTTATACACCAAGTGTGATTGTACTCTGGAAGCATACAAATTGCTTGCATTCGTGAAGGATGGTGATGTTGTGTCTTGGACAACAATGATATCTTCGTTAGTTGAAACTAGTAGATGGAGTGAAGCTCTGCAAGTCTATGTCAAAATGATTGAAGAGGGTATTTACCCGAATGAGTTCACATTTGTAAAACTTTTAGGCGTGTCTTCTTTTCTTGGTTTGGGAATCGGTTATGGGAAACTACTACATGCACACTTAATCAGATTTGGTGTTGAAATGAATTTGGTCTTGAAGACAGCCATTGTTGATATGTATTCAAAATGCAGACGGATGGAAGATGCTATTAAGGTCTCAAATCAGACACCTGAATACGATGTGTGCTTATGGACCACCATTATCTCTGGATTAACTCAAAATTTGCAGGTTAGGGAGGCTGTCAATGCATTTCTTGATATGGAATTGTCTGGAATCCTACCAAATAATTTTACATATGCTAGTTTATTGAATGCTAGCTCCTCAATTTTATCATTGGACCTAGGGGAACAGATTCATTCACAGGTTATCATTGTTGGACTGGAGGATGATATTTATGTAGGAAATGCACTGGTTGATATGTACATGAAATGTTCCCGCATCACAACAAATGCTGTGAAAGCTTTTAGAGGGATAATCTCACCAAATGTCATCTCTTGGACTTCTTTGATTGCTGGTTTTGCAGAACATGGCTTAGAAGAAGAATCTTTTCAGTTGTTTGCTGAGATGCAAGCATCAGGAGTGCAACCAAATTCCTTTACACTATCTACTATGCTTGGAACTTGCAGCAAACTCAAGTCTCTTGTTCAAACAACGAAACTCCACAGCCATATCATAAAAACCAAAGCAGACATAGATATAGCTGTTGGGAATGCTCTTGTAGATGCTTATGCTGGAGGGGGGATGGCGGAGGTAGCATGGTCTGTTATTGGCACGATGAACCAGAGAGATCCTATCACATACACAAGTTTAGCTGCAAGATTAAACCAGAGGGGGGATCATGAAATGGCATTAAAAGTCACCACTCACATGCACAATGACGAGGTTAAGATGGATGAATTTAGCTTGGCAAGTTTTTTATCAGCTGCAGCTGGTTTAGGAACTATGGAAACTGGAAAGCAGCTACATTGTCATTCTGTTAAATCAGGCTTGGAGAGATCCAACTCGGTTTCAAATAGCTTAGTTCACTTGTACAGCAAATGCGGTAGCATGCACGATGCATACATGGCTTTCAAAGATATAAATGAACCTGATGCTGTGTCGTGGAATGGTTTGATATCTGGATTGGCATCAACTGGACATATATCCTATGCTCTTTCTGCGTTTGATGACATGAGGTTAGCAGGAGTTAAACCTAATTCTGTTACATTCTTATCACTGATTTTTGCATGCAGCCATAGTGGTTTATTGGATCTGGGTCTTGAATATTTCCATTCTATGGAAAAAACATACCAGATAACACCAGAGTTGGATCACTATGTGTGTTTAGTTGATCTCCTTGGCAGAGGTGGTCGCCTAGAGGAAGCTAGGGGAGTATTTGAAACAATGCCTTTCAAGCCGGACTCAGTAATTTGTAAAACTTTATTAAATGCATGCAAGTTGCATGGAAATGTACCCCTCGGTGAACATATGGCAAGGAGATGTCTTGAGCTTGATCCATCTGATCCTGCAATATATTTGCTGCTTGCAAACTTGTATGACAATGCTGGACTCTTTGATTTTGGTAACAAGACTCGCTGGCTAATGAGAGAAAGAGGCTTAAGGGGAAGTCCTGGGCAGTGCTGGATAGAGATAAGAAGCAAGATTTATCTCTTCTCTAAAGGAGAGAAGATAGATCAGAATGAGATTAATGAAAAACTGGAGTCTCTTATAACTCAGTTTAAGAAGAGAGGGTACCCATACCACGAGAATCAAGATAAGTTATACCACTCAGAGCAATTAGCCGTTTCATTTGGTCTTCTTAATGTACCAACTATGTCTCCAATTCGCATAAACAAGAATTCACACATCTGCCCTCACTGCCATACTTTTATGATGCTTGTGACATATGTGGTTGGTAGGGATATTATTGTGAGGGATGGGAAGCGATTCCATTTCTTTAAGGACGGCCAGTGTTCATGCAGAGGTCACTCATAATGTGCAGGAACACTTCCTTGTTTGCATTTGCAATGAAAATTATTACCCTTTTGTAACAGAGAGAATGGACAATTACATGGATGGTCCTTAAACATGTTTAACATTTATTTTTAGATTTAGCTAAAATATTCCTTGCGTTATTTTTCTGTGTTTATGGTAATTCGTTAGGTTTCTACTCATTGTTCTAGCAATGTCAAAGGAACAAATTGGAGGTAATGGCTTGTTGGCGTGTCTCACATGGCCAACTGAGATGCGTTCGTAGTTCCAATCAACTTGCTATGCTCATCTGTTAATTTTTAAACCATTATTGTTTATCTTATGATTCTTTTGCCAACTTATATTCAGTCATTGCTTCATTTCATATATTTCTTTCATCCTGTTAGAATTGAATATCCACACAAATGCAAGAGACAACTTGTGTATCTACAAAAAAACTTTTCTTTTCTATTCTTGCTTTATTGCTCTCTTTTTTTTTTCTCTTTATCTACATTTCATACAAACTATCAAAGGCTATTTATAAGCTATAAAACTGACCAACATAACTCTACACATAACACCCTCATTACTTTATAACTGACTCATTAATATTCTAACTGACATAACTGAGTCATTAATGTCCACTAACACAAACCTAAGGACATGACTCTTCACCGGAAAACTCTTCACATTTCTATTTTCTATTTTCTATTTTTATCTCATTAAAATTTAACCCAACAAAACTCCCCCTTAAATTTTAATTCTTCTTTTTTGAATTTTCCACCGGTTGATTTTTTTCCGCGCTGCTGCGCTGCTTTCATGTTGCACTCCTTTCTTCAATTTTTTTTTTGTCTGGCGGTTCCTTCATTGGTGGAAGATAGACAGTCTTGAATTTTTCTCTGTCGACCTCATCCTCCAATATACTTCCACATCCATTCTTACACGTATGATCTTCACACAAGTCATCATACTGATCAGTATTTGTATCACTATAACGTCCCATTAGTTTTACAACACCTATGCCAATTTTAATACTTTCAGATTCAACATGTGCTACATTAATAGCACGTTGGGCCTCATCAACCACAGTAACCCCATCACTCATTGAGGACTGTTGATTTCCATCATCAAGCAATAACTCAACTCATCATTTTCTGATTCCGCCCCACGATCTTCTTCTGGTTTACGCTTGAGCCAAAATGATTCCGCCATAAAAGTAACTCTAGGCTCCTCATCGCCGGGTTCTTCTTCATCGAGTCCAGCTTCCACGCGCCTCATCAATGGAATTTCGCCTCATCAATGGAATTTCAGACCACTGTCCTCCAGGGAAATGGTCTCTATTTGGTGGTGTCGACATCTTCCACTTCCACCATAAATTCAATGCAGTCTCCGACTTCTGACTTCCAACCCGAACCGCGCCTATGCCGGTCTCCGACATCAACCTCATCACGCCGGGGTCGAGCTCTTCTCCAAAACATGAACTCAGTGATTTAGCCGGGATCTCCCCCATCCCGGTTATCAACACGGAACTCGGATTCACGGTCTCCTCCATGCTGGTCTCCATCAAGCATCTCGGATTCCACGCTTCTCGTTCCTTTGCTGGCTTCTCAAGCTCCTTCGACATCTCGTCTTCTTCCTTATCTCTCTATCCGTCTTCTGAATTGACTCGCCGCTCTCAGCGTCTTCGATCACGGCTCCCATAGCCGCAGTCATCGTCTTTTTCTCTGATTCATCTCTCTCACGCTCCAACGTGTCGATCTTCTCCGCGGATACGTTGCCGTTGGCAACCTCGGATTCCGCCATCTCGGTCTCTTCTTCATCCGCATCATTCTCCTCATCTTCATCATCATCATTGAAGATTTCATCTTCTTCATTAATCAGATCAAAACGTCCAGGCAAGTATTTTGTTACGAAGGCCATTAGAAAATCCTTCCACATATTATTAAAGTCGCGGCAGTTCCATGTACGGAACCATTTGATTGCGCTTCCTCTAAGTCTTCTCATGGCTACCTGCCATTTGTCCTCTGTCCAGATTTTTTCTTTCCGAAAATGTTCCTTCAAACAGATAAGCCAATCTAATGCTTCATCCTTATCTCCATGGAAGAGTGGCACTTCCATCTCGTTCTTTTCCTTCATAGCCCAAGCTCTGATACCAATTTGTTAGAATTGAATATCCACACAGATGCAAGATGTGTATCTACAAAAAAAACTTTTCTTTTCTATTCTTGTTTTATTGCTCTTTTTCTTTTTCTCTTTATCTACATTTCATACAAACTATCAAAGGCTATAACATAACTCCACACATAACACCCTCATTACTTTATAACTGACATAACTGACTCATTAATATTCTAACTGACATAACTGACTCATTAATGTCCACTAACACAAACCTAAGGACATGACTCTTCACCGGAAAACTCTTCACATTTTTATTTTCTATTTTCTATTTTTATCTCATTGAAATTTAACCCAACACATCCAAATAAGAAATTAACAAGAAAATTCTGCAATATTCCTCAAAGAGTAATGCTACATAGTCAATAAAATAGTCAGAATCTTGATAGAACTCAAACGTCGTTATTTGATGGAATAGATCGGTAAGAACTTATACATCCCAGAGACAAAAAGAATGCCTTCTCATTTTGTTAAAAATTCTAACAAAAAATTTATAGCGCTCTAGTTTTTTAAAGCACATCACAGTAATGCAACAACATATTACCTGCTCATAAATGAGCCTAGAATTGCAAATTTGCATCCACCTTTCTTTGGCTATAGATAGTCATAGCACTCAAAACGGCAACGGCACGCAAATTCATCATTACCCGGGACTGAAACAACACAAAACATTGTGACTCAATGAGCTAACTTTCTTTTCCCAGTATAACTTTTTTTTTTAGAACTCTTACAAATTCAACTATGTACTCTTAGTACTCCTACATAGTTAAGATTGTAAGAGTTGTAAACAAAAAAAGTTATAAATGTAACTCTTCCTTTTCTTTTCCCTCATTTTTATATTTTTCTGATTTTTTTTTAATAAGAAAAAAGTTGCAAACTTTTTCACAATGCCCTTAGCCCCACAAATACAAAACAACAATGAGGCACATCAAGCCACTAAGTTTGATATAATGGTGAGGGATTTGGATAGTTTGTATTAGGTTATTTATTCATATTAAAAAAAAAAAAAACAATGAGGCATAACATAAAACAAAAAAGAAAAAGGGCCACAACATCTTTTAGCTTTCACTCTCACCCTCTAATTCTACATAAACAAGAAGTAACAAACAAGAAAAAGGGCCACAACACAACATCTTTGAGTAAAATATGAAGGTTAAAGGGATAAATCCAAATGGGCCTATTTTAGTAACTGGAAATCTAATAAATTTTCAAAACTTAAACAATATAATTGAAAACTTAAAAATCTAATAGTTAAATTAAATCTTTCTATCTCATTTAGAGTTTTTTAACTTAAAATATAATTTCCTTTTTTTCTTTAATTAGAGGATTCTTACAACTGTAGTAATTTATTATTATTATTGACTAATTATGTATTGAGTGTTGAAATATTTGTGTGCATGGACTTTTGAAAGTTGCACTAAGGGCTGTTTGTTAGGATGGAATATTTTTTTTGTTCCCCGTAAAGTGACTCTTGCAGCTTGAAAATCCTATGTTTGGTAGAAGGGTGTTTCAAATTGCACCTGAAAAATGTGGATTCCTGGAAATCGTTTTAACACATGAAAAGCTGAAGTCCGATTTCCCTTGAATGTGTGGTATTTCATCATTCCAATGAAGTGGGTATCATATTTACTAAATTATTAGACAAAATTAAACCCCCTTAGCTTTTCGCCACTCACTAAAAAGTTGAGGTTACTTCTGTAAATTAAACATATATTCCCAGTATTATTTTACCGTCAACCAAATATATACTCGGTAAAATTATCTAATATTTCCGGTAATATTTATGCCTATTAAACAAATTTTTTATACCATTTCCAGTAAACTCAATTTCTTATCATATTCCTAGAAATCATAATTCTCGTACACACAAAAATTTCTCTTCAACCAAACGCCCCCTAACAATATTAATATTGAATACATCAAAGTTTTGTCAAAGTATTTATGGACTGAGTCACCTAAGTCTTTATTTATCGACCATCTCAAAATTCTTATTAGTTATATTAAGTAACATATAACTTTTTTTCATGTAAATATAGAATTTCTATATTGAATATTTTGAAATATATGCATGTTATAATGTATAACTCTTTTGGAATTTCTATCAGTAATATATTATTTTTCAAAAATTTCACATTAAATTAATACTTTGAAGTCTTTATAAATTTAATTAGACCTAAATAAAATATAGAATTGAGTTGGAAGGACCAATTATATGTAATAAATAGAAAGTTGTGTTAATTATATTAAGTTCAACAAAATTTTCATATGTATTTACCGTGTAACCCTCTCGGAGTATTTATCTATGTTAATTCTCTCAAAATTTATATCATTTACAATAAGTACTTAGAAAATTTCATCATAGAAATATTGAATCCTGCACTGATAATTATGTCTCATAGTTAAAATTGTAATTTGAGAGAATTTTGAATTGTGTAAAGAGTTTGCATATTTGGATTTCAAATAGAGAGTTAGATTGAGATTTGTTGGATCTATGGCCCATTGTGAGAGGCCCAAGGGCATGAGCTCAAAAGTTAGTGTTGCCCTAATATTTGAGATTAAAACGAAGTATCTACCGTATGAAGCAAATGTACAACATATGTGAATGAGACATGAGAGAGATAAGATTTTCCGGCAAATCCAATGCTGAGATTTTGTTGGAATGAATTGAAATTTTGGAGGAATATTCTTGACATGGAGTACTTTATATCTAATGGTCTTTTTAGAGTGTCGGACTTGCAATTTGGGTTTTTTCAGGTATTTTTTCATGATATTTTATTTATATAATTTTGATTACGTCTCTTTTAATTTCTGTAATACTATCTGAAGGAAATATTGTGAGAATAATGTGTACTATTTATCCATTATTATTGTTTGCTGATACTAAATGATTTGGGTGAACTCTAGCAAAAAATCTTATACTTTTTTCTTTTGCCATTCATCTCTTTTATCAAATGGGTATTTTGGATTTTCTCTTGTCCATATATAAGAAAGAACCAACACTTAAAAGGGGTGTGTGTGTGTGTCAATTGAGATTATTATTGTACTTGATTTGTTATTTGGGTTAATTAATTCAATTTTCTCTAGAGTAGTTGATGTTGGAAAAAATTCTTATATCATTAATTAATTGATGAATAGGTAGCAAACAATATCAGCTAATTTCATCAATTGTATAATTTAAATTTAAATCTATGAATGCTTATTAAAATATGCAATCAATGATTTTTCATTAAAAAGGTATTTTTCTCTAAATCTTCTATTTCTTTTATTAATTTTTATTTATTTATTTACATGGCAGATTTGCAACCAATTGTTTTATATGGAGCATTCAATCGACGGCTTTGATTTGGGGAATCTGAATCACGGATCATCTCATGGTTCAGGCGCAATCATGATCGGAGAGTCCCTGTTGTGTGGCGAAGTATCTGTGTCAAAGAGAATGTTAAAGATGCAACCACAAAACTCAAAATCCAACGAAGATGCAACAACAAAATTCACGTCCCTTTGTAAAACCTCTTTCTTTTTTTTTTTGTTTTTTTTTTTTGGAAATAGCTTTGCAAAACCTCTTGTAAGGGACCGGTTCTTTTGTTGGTGAAACCTTTCCAAGAGGTTTTATAAGGGGACGTGAGTTTTGTTGTTGCATCTTTATTGGATTTTGACTTTTGTAGTTGCATCATATATAAAATTAAAACCCCTTCTGTTGATTTTTTTTTTTAAGAGATAAAAAGGGAGTAAATATAAATGCATTATTTTTATGTCGTAGCAATTTTCAGTATGTAAATGAAATCGATCATCAATTGAAAGTCTCTAGCTTTTTTCTTGATCTGGATTTTTGAGATTGTATGGTGCGTGGAAGGTGCATGCCAAATGTTGACCCCTGCTCAAGAGCTGATTGCCACCATCACTAAAATGTATATAATCTTTTATTTAATATTATTAAATTCGATTTACCAAATTTTTTTTTTGTTAAATTCGGACCAATGACTGACTTGGTCAATATATTGAAATAATAAGTCGTTGGTTGAATTAATGAATCATTAATTAAATTGATTAAACTGACTTTGTATAACAATATATATTAAATATAATCACGAGTGTACTGTGATAATAAAAGTACTTTGGTATAGTGATTCAACTTACATATACTCATAATTTTGGCGCAGGCTGATTCCCGTTGCTCGCAAATTTAACAATATACTTTTTGACCGATTGTTTTAAGGGCATGTTTTTTTTCATAATATATGAGATAACATTATTTCATGTAGAGACATAATTAAATAAATTTTACAATTAAAAAAAGAAGAATAAAAAGAAATATTGATTCAGATTTCTATAAATGTATAATATGAGATAAAAAAATTTACGTAACATGAGAAAAATATTTCTCTTGTTTTAACTTGTATCCATTGTAACCTTGTGTTTGAGAGAAAGACGCTCATTTTTCTACACGTGCTTTGCCGTTTCCGGTGGTGAAAATATGCACTAAACAGGATGTCAGACTACTACATAGCTATGTCATCCCTTATTAAATCAGCTTACACGGCAATTGGGTCATATAACAACTCACACATTTAGATTTACTCATCCTGCGGTGTATAATAACCTTTAAACAAACCACTTGATGCATCACACACAACCATTTCAATACTTAACATAATTATTCTATACCCTCATGCATGGACACTTTAATTCTTCCCTACTAAATTATTATCTTGTGGATAAATTTATGAATACTTGTGATAAAATCGGACAAAAGAGTCAAGTTAGGCCATATTCTGATATGTGGAGCCTATATAGGTGGATCTACAAATATTAACTCATTGTTTTTCTTTTTTCTCTTATGAGGGAGATAAAATTCAATACTCTCGTATCTTGTGATCCGTATAGAATAGAGAAAGAGAAGAAAGAAGGAAAATGGACCAAGAAATTAATTTTCGTTACGAGGTTAACTCGATTGTACAATCCTCTTACACAATTGAATTAAAATGATTAAAAATGGGGGAAAGATATTCTAACAACCAAGTTGTGTTACTACCATGTTACTATCAATCAATTTCACCGTTAGATCAATTATGTTGATCCAACAGTTATATTTATTTCCATCTTTGATTGGTTATGATTCCCCATATTTAAAGTGAAAGCATTAAATATGAAAAATCATAACCATACAAAGGTAAAAATAAATATAAAATATTAAATTTGGAAAATCATGACCATACAAAGATGTGGAAATAAATATAATCGTTGAATCAACATACTTGATTTAACGATGAGATTGATTGATAGTAACTTAGTAATAACATAACTTGATTGTTACATTATCCTTCCCCTTAAAAATATACTTGAAATTGAGTTTAAATTTTGCATCCATTTTAGATTAGACGTGGTTTGGCGTTATACCTGCCATGTCGAATTGTTGACAATGCGTAGAAATTTCAAAGTTTGACTCAGTTATCAATCTTATTAAATAATTAATCCGTTTTTTGGCTTTTATTAGAAAAAGAAACATTATATCATTTTCACACGTGGCATATTCTTAAGGAAATGTTCTACGTGGAACGTTTAACAACACCACTTCGATTTGGAGAATCAGAATCAAATAAGCGTTTAATGATCTACGCGCAATCATAATCTGACGGCTGTCATCACAGGGCGACGTGACCTCGACGAAGCGCAGCGAATCGAATCTCAAATCTGCAACAACAAAACTCAACAACCCACTTATATATTTATATTTTTTACAAAATAAAATATAAAAAAACAATTTAAGGAAAAAAACAAAAAAAATTAAGAAGGTTAAAACGCCAGAGGGGTTTTCCGGCGATATGATTGGATGTCAATTGGGGACCGGTCCGGGCGAGCTAAACCGGAATTTAACTGCATATGTTTTGCATACGGGTCAAACGAACCAGTATTCAATCGGGTCAGTTCTCCGATGACGACGCACCAGCTAAACCGCCGTCGCCGTCGTCAAAATGACCCAAGCCCAGCAAGATGTTACTGTACTAGGCTTCCGGGAAGGGTTACCAAATGTAAACTTTATCTTCGACGTCCTCGTCATCAGTTTCCATTTCCGGGTCCGGTTCTACTTCCTCTCCAGTCGGGTCGTTTCCCTGCGGGTCTACCGATGGCGTCGCCGGAGAGTGTGCTGATGAGGAAGACGAAGCTGTAGTGTTGGCCTGGAAGGAGATTGAATTGGATGATCCTTGTTCTGGTGGCGTTGGCGGTGGATGCATCGTGGGAGACTTGCTCCGGGTACTTCCAGCGAGCGAGTTCCGGTGGGTGGGTATGGGATGCGTGTGGTCTCCGGTGTAGGTGACGATGAACATGTTGGCTTCAGTGTTGCTTCGTTCAACTTGCTTTCGTGCTGCACAACCTTTGGAGCTGCTGCACTTGTAATAGTTCCTGGGAAAACATATATGTATGTATGTGTACTTATAAGTGTTATTATTTTTCCAAGAAACAAACGGAAAATGGATGAGAAAGTGGGAGATAATTATAGGTATACCTTGGATATGGAGAACCCTTAATGGGTTTTTGTCCATATTTACGCCATGCCCACAAATCAGCTGAAAGGTTATCTGCTGTTACTTGGCACACCATTTTCTTGTGTTGGCTTTTTCTGCAGAACAGGAAAAAAAAGAAAAAGGAATCGCAACTGATCATAGCAGTTTTATGTATGTAAAAGTTCAATTCTTTGAGTTTTAATTAAATGAAATCCAATTATGAATGGAAAAATTAAGTTCATATATACCTTCTTCTTGATCTGGGTGTTTGAGATTGCGTGTTTGGTAAAGCTATAGCAGAACTGGTTTCGGGTACTAAATTTTCTTGTTTCTGAAGTACTTGTTGTTGGTCGTGGAATCTGTTGAAACTAGAAGTGGAGGGTTCTGGCATAAAATGCAGAGGAGGATGGTGGGCTGCTTGGATCGTTTCTTGTTGTGTAATGCATGGTGCAAAATCATGCGAATTGGGATTGATACCATGACCACTTGTGGTAGTGGTATTAAAGGGTGTGAGCAATTGGTTTAGTTCTTGGAACTCATTGGTTACAGGTTGTTGCACCATGTTGGGAAAAGAAAATGCGTCATGTTCGTCCTTGACAGTACTAGAAGTGGCAAAGGAAGAGGTGGTGGTAGCCGTAGGTGGATTTTCTGTGGTTGCTGATTGGCAGCTTCGCACGATGGCGAAGAGATCCCAGTCCTCCTCAGCCATGCACGAGAGAGAGAATATCCGCAGGAGGTACAAACTTCAGGGTATGGTTAGAAATTTGACAAAAAAAATAAAAATAAAAATCAAAGTCTTTTTTTTCCCAAATGAAGCAACTGGGTAGAGAACAAAGTTTCAGATCAGAGGGAGAAAATAGACACAAAGGATGGCGCTGACTTTTTGGGTGAAAGAGAGAAAGAGATAGAGAGAGAGGTAAGGAAGCAAGAGGGGATGGTGGAGCACTTACTGAGTTGGGTAAATAATAATTTATACTAACAAATTGACAAATTCTGATGAAAATAAAACAAGAGAGAGAAAGGGGGACAGTGAGAGTGGAGTTTTCTTGGGGTTGGAGGCTGTCGTGCGTGGATTCGAGGATTTTGATATACACTTTCATTGACATTGTATAAATGTCAAAGGGGGTCCCCTAAACAAAGGTGGCAAGTTAAGGACGAAGATTGTGATGTCCTGAGCAGGAAAGTTCCAAGTTGCATAGTTTTTTATTTTTTAACTAACAGCATCGCTGATTTTATTGGCCAGTGCAAGAACTCGAGGATAAGTACAAAGTACCTACGCGCCCTTGTTTCGAGTGAGACACGCGCTGTGAGCAGACCTTGTTGAGGCAATCAGGTTCAATTCAAACTATGAGTATTATGATATGCGTGAGAATTTTAATTATTTATAGGTCAATTAACAGTAAGAAAAATAAGAGAAAAAATATTATGATAGAAAATATGAAATCTTTGCTATTGATTTTTTATGAATAATTAGAGGGTTTATTTTTTCTAAAGTTACTTTAGATAACTTTATCTAATGTTCACCAAAACAACGTCGTTTTGGACGAAAACCATGATGTTTTTGTAATTTTAATTTATTTCAAAGTTATAATAGTCTTTATCATTCTAATTTTTTAATTTTTCAACTATAAAACTATGCCGTTTCAATGAACATTAGACAAAATTGTCTAAAGTAATATTAGATACCTTTTTCCCATAATTAAAATCTTTCCATAAGATATCATCATATTAAATAGTATATGAAATAATTTATTCTCGGGTATGTGGTTAGTGGTTTGGTTTTTAAATTTTGATTTTACTTTTTTCTTTACTTAGAACTTCATGTATTATTTCAAAATGGACTCTTTTTGTTTTGTTTTCCCTGCTTGTAATACAACAGTTTTCTTTTGTTTTGGAGAAATTGGAAAGATTAAAACACGGGAAAGATTATTACTTTCAGTAATTGAAGTTTATAAAAAGTAACTTTGTTGACAACATTGTCGCCTGTTTTTTAAAAACTAAATAGTTAATTACGCATTTGTAGAACAAAATCTGTATTATTATAAGAAAAAGTTTGAAATAAGGCGTGTGATTTTTTATTTTTTTTTCATTTTGTCGCATTATATTAAATTGAACATTTCTTCCATAAAAATTATAAATTTGGATTGAAGTTTGACACTTTTTCTTCCAATTACATCACGAGAAAATCTCATACTGTATTACCAAAATAAAAAATAAAAAATCTCATACTGAAGTAAAAGGCCTGAAAAATGTTTTTATCCAAATATGAAAGGGTTAAAAAATGAGCTGATTAAACAATATAGTAGGAGTTCAGATGAAATAATAATAATAAAGATAAAAAATAATATGATGGGGTAGGAGTTGAACAAATCAAGAACCGTATATAAAAGTGGAGTATTAGTTTGAACTCATAAAATAATTATATGATAAGCTTAACAACTAAATAAAATATTTTAAATGACGTGATGGTTTGAGTCGTACTCAAATAACATGTCAAGGCTTTATATAACAGTTATTTTATTTTCTTATTATGTTTTTTACAATTTTTTATGTGTGAATTTTTTGTTGTTGAGATATTGAAAATATTCCTTTTAACAAATGTTTTGTTGCTTGAACTCATGCTAATAGAAAATGCTATCAACCACTAAGTCAAAAATTACTTATTAGTTGAACTTTCAAGTTCCAGATCACTAAGTTTTGATAAGCATGTTTTGTGACTATAATATTAGAAAAACAAATGTTGGAATTGGAACAATGTTTTCCAAGGTAAAATGTTAGAGTGACAACTAATGCTTTTGAATAATTTATTATTATATATAATAACACTAAAATTTGAACCGGAAATTATTCAAATTTCTCACTATTAAAGCACGTTATTCTATGATCAAATTATTTAATGTTGAAAGATTATTCTTGTAATACTATCCAAAAAAAAATAAAAAAAATTCTTGTAACAATAAAAGTAATGTTCCAATTGCACGCGCTCCATTGCGAGGTTGACGCTAAGATTTGCAGCTCCCATAAGACATGGGCGTTGGAAAGTGACAAAATACACAGCCCTTAAATTTGTTAGGACGTGATTCTGTAATTTTTCTTTTCTAAAGGATGTTATTCTGTTTTTTAAGTTTTCTCTAAAAAAAAGAATCTTTGCAACTTTAACGGTGGGTGAGATAATGGCACTGACTAGTTTCCACTGAAAGTTGTATGCGGTAGGATTGGCATATGCATGCTCCACAACTTAACATTAATTTTAGGATTAAATGTAATTCTTTATCCTATATTAGATTAGTTACACTTTTTTAATCTAATTTTCATAATTAAGAACATTACACCTTCATTAAATATACATTTTTTTTTTGTAATTTTATCCTTTTCACTTAAAATTATTTATTTAATAATAATTAACATAAGCTAAAAGTATATTCTTATATTTTCTTTTTCTCCTTTCCTATCACTATATTATTTTTTTAGAACTTTCTGTAACTTGCTGCCCTTCCTTATAATATTTTTTTGGCACATTACTTATAATATTAAATTAAGATCATACATAGCTATTAGCAATAACATATTTTTATTTTAGTTTTTTTTTTCCTTTAACCTCATAAATGAAACTAAAGGATGCCTAAGTATACATTTCATTATGAAGGGGTTTATTATAAATTCATTATCTTCTTCTCCCAATTTTTTTTTTCCATTTTACAACAACAAAGAAATTTACTTTATTCTCCCCAAGGCAGATTATATTGTAGGTCCTGACATGTCAAATGACTCATTTACACCCCTAATCATTTGATGCATCCAAATCTTTTTAAATATCCTAAAAAAATATTTTATTCATTCTTAGATCTATTTTTTCTTTTAAAATTCTGTCTTTGAAATATATGTCTTTTATTTCTTATCATATTCGTGTTTATCTAAATAATAGAGATTTTCTAATACCCTAAATGATAATTTTAATTAAAAACAAAGCTTATTGAATTTATTTTACCATACAAAGCACCCGATAGAAGAGAAGCAGAAACGAGGAAAAAGTGGAGGAATAAAAAGAACAAACAAAATTTTCCAGAAACAAAAAGACCCCTATGTAATGCTATATTATTTTAAAATGAAGAGCATTGGAAAGAAAAATAAAAAATATATATCTTTTGACAAAAGGAAAATTAAAAGGTTTGACTGCAAAAAAGTTTGGTTTTAACGTGTTATTAGTTTACAGGGCATATAGGCCAGTATCCAAGTTACTAGAAAGCACTAAGAGAATATGAGTTGACAATTATTTGTTTGGCATCTATGATGATAGTGAGTGGAGTTGATCAAACTGTATATATATCTGTGATTCAACGGACGTGCAGAAAATTCTTCCATGATAACTGTAATTATTTAAACTTAGAAAAGATATCAAGGACTTGAAGCAGAGATGATACCTGAAGGAAGCTTGAGTGTAAATATAGTTGTCCGGGACCACCACTACCATATTTGATGCAAACCCATTAATTCCTGCCCTTAGTTGTGGGAGGGGTCCAAATTTTTCAGCTAGAAGAATGAAATATGTCAACGATGGTTCTTTTTTTTTTTTTTCCTCTCGAAAATGTCAACGATGGTTCTTCATTCCATTAGTGTTTGGTTGGCCAGTTTGGTCAATGGAATAGCCTACAAGACTTAGAGGTCTCTTACTTTACATCAATATGGTTATTGTTGTGACGAAAGCCCACTTGAGCCAGCCATAAAGGAATTGCTAAGTGATTCTTGATTCAATGGCCTTCAGTTTAAACTTTAAACTTTAAACCTTATTAGCTTATTGACTCCAATAAAATAAAGAAAAGCTTGAAATCGGGACATAAAAGTAACTTCGATTTTCAACTAGAGTGACACAGATATCAAAGTTCTTATTTGCTGGCTTAAGGCAAGAAGTAACAAATTTGTTGCTTCGTTGGAGTAAATATCCCACAATCTGGCAACATTTCAATTTTATGTGTTTATGTTCATGTTATTGCTTTGCCGGAAAAGAAAACTGCTTATTCTGATTGTGGCAGACTCGACTCTCCTCGAAGTCACATGAAAGCTCAACCTGATGCTATTGCACACTTAACTTCCAAAATCATGTCTCATTTGAAGTCTGGTGGAGAAAAGACTGTACAAGCCCTCAACTCTCTCTGTTGGAGATTTAAGGAATTTCAAGTGGAGGTACTACACAAACTGTTGGAATAGTCTCTCTTTACCATAGTTAAATGTTGTTTATATACATTTAAAGTGTAGATGGGTTTTCATCTTTGATACTTGAAGTTCTCTAGTTCCATTCTACCAAAAAATAATATAAATGTAATCCCAAATACAGTTAAAATTACTAAAATTGGTAGTATATAACAGCCATTCGGTTAACATGTGCAGCGGAAGTTTTTTAAATAAGAACTTACTGAACTATTAATCATATCAATGTAGGAATGAATCAAATGAAGATAAACCATAACAGAGCAATTCTGTGACCAAGCATATGCTTATCATTACGTTGCTGCTGTTGATTACTTGATTATCACACTTGATTGCAATTTATAGCAGGAGGCACACCTTATCTGTGTCGACTCCCTTGGGTTTGACCTAAGGGTTTGTTCAGTAGCTCAAGTCCAGAGGCTGAGATTTGCATTCAAGAAAAGAGTTCATATGTTGTTTTTCATAACTACAAATTTTAATTTCTTCATATTTCACGACTGTGATATAACTCCTCATGCCATGCACTGCACCTCTAAACACCAACAATGTTAATAAGCTAGATGATTTTTTAAAGGATGCTTGTCAGACTAATGATCTAATACAGGCTAATTCAAAACAGTTTTTATTGAGTTATCATATAATTATTTTGTTTTTGAAATGGCTCCATTGCGTTTAGTTATTTGGCCTTCATTTATAGTAGTTTGACAAACACCACCTTGAGATGCCTGACTTTAGAAGATGATTGCTGTTCCTAGGGTTGCAACTTGGGGCTTTAATCTTTCTCTTGGTATATGATGTATGTAGGATTCATAAGATGATCCAAGGTGAAAGTGCCTTCTGCAGTACACTAAAGATGGACTAATTACAAAACCTGTTTAAAGTTTCACTTCTAGAGTGGGCTTTGACATGTTCAATGCACTGGGAGTAGTCCTATGTATTTTATGACCAATCATCCTTTGTTAAGGAATATAGTATGTAATATGTTTTTTAGGTGAACAAGGTATCCTCTCAACTCTCAAGGTTTGCTGCGAAACTAACACTCGAGTACTATTGTTAATAAGTTGTTCTGTTGTAAGATCTCTCAAGGTATTCTTTGTCTTTGATAACTTGTTCTGTTCTGAGGCTCAATACTATTAAGTACTGAACCACCGAGACTCATGTTGCAATTATACTGTAAATCAGCAACTAGAAATTTAGATGCATTGCACTTTGAGATTTATATATAATTTTTTCCAAGACTAGAGACTTCATTATAAGACTTAAAAGCTATTATCAGTCACAGATTTTGCCAAACTTTTACACTTACAGTCCAGATCAGAAGTTGCATAAGCACTTAATTCCTTTATGTAAGTAACTCCTTAATCTCATCAATAATAACTTCATAAATCTTACTGAACTATTTAATATAAGCTACACTCAGTATAGTACCTAGCTCCTTGTGTAAGTCTCATAAACCAATTGTGCTGCGAGCATATCTACAACAGCAGAACCAACAGACTTGAACACAGTTATTTGCTCTAAATTGCTTCTCCCAACCTTGTCACCTCTAACAAGTTCCACCAAATTTCCTCCAATTTCATCTTTCTTGATCACTCCTCTGTCAAAAGCACCCACCAGTTCCCCAGCTTCTACCAGCGCAGCCTCATTGTCCACAAACACTTTCCCCCTTCTTATGGCCTCATCATCACATTCCTTCATTGAATGCTTGAAGGAACCCACCAAATCCAAATGAGCACCAGCCTTCAACCTCTCCCCCTTCACAATAGGTGTCTCAGAATTGGTGGCACAACTCACTATGTCCCCAAGTCCAGCAACCTCATCCAAACACCCACTACCCACAAAGCTCAACCCTGCAAATTCATCACTTTCTCTCAGTTTTAATGCCAAAGTTGTTGCCTTTTCCACTGTTCTATTCCAGATTATGACTTTTCTCAAACTGGGTCTGGCTGAAAGATGGGCCCTGATCAAATGGGGTGCTAGGGCACCAGCACCAACCATGACAAGGACCTCACTGTCATCTCTGGCTAAATATTTGGAAGCCAAGCCAGAGACACACGAGGTTCGATAAAGGGTGAGTTCAGTGGAGTCCATGGAAGCAAGGGTTTGGCCAGTTGTGGAATTGAAGAGCACATAGCTTCCCTGCACACCTGGTAAGTTGAGTGCAGAGTTTTGAGGGAAATGGGTTACAAGCTTAACGCCAATGTAAGGGAAAGAAGGGGAAGATGACCAAGAAGGCATGATGAGGAGGGAGGAAGAAGGAGAGATAGCATAGTGTTGGCGAATTGGGGTTTGGAGAAAGGTTGAGACTTTGGGGAGAGTGGATTGCAAGTGATTCATGAGTGTGTGATGGGTGAGGATGCTGCATAAGCTCTCGGTGGATATGAAGACCGGAGAAGAAGATACGGCGGTGGCGGTGGCGGTTGCGGTTGTTTCATTGGTGCTGGTCTTGTCTTTGTTGGTGGAAGTCATTGATGAGAGAATTGTGCAAAGTTTGAGGCTTTTGGCTGAGGACAATTCGTTCTTTCTGTGGAATCTTGCAAGTTCAACTTAAAATTGGAAATTGAGGAAAAATAAAATAAATAAATTAGGGGATGTATGTGAACAGAATAATTTGGGGATGTATGTGAACAGAATAAATTAGAGGGTCGATTTCTTTTCTCCCATTCTTTAAAAAAAATTCGCTTTTTTTCTTCTTCTTTTTAATTTAAGAAATAAATGAAGGCACTATAAATAAATTAGTGATGGAGGGGATTAGTGACGAAGGGTTTAGATAATTTATCAAGAATTATAAATTTTGCATTATTATAATTTTCAAATAAATATTTATCTTATAATTTTGTTAAATAAAAATACTTCAAAAATGCTATTATAAAAAATTTCTCACAATTTTGAAAACAATTATGTTGTAAAAAAGAAATAATTTTTTAAAATATTTTGTATTAATTTTTTAAATCATAAAACGATTTTATTTTGGAATTATTTGAGATAATTTTATTTAATTTAACTGAAAAAATATTTTAATTTCCCAATTTAAAAATTAAAATGACAATTCTTTCTATTTTATCACTTTCTTTTCTTGCACTCTACTATTTGATTGTATGTAATTAAATATAACGAGTCGAATAACTCTATTTGTTTAAACAATTGAATATTAATTTTTAACATTTTGATTTTTAATAATAATTGTTATTGATTTGTTTAAGATAACTCTCCCGTTTTTTAACTCCCGTATTAATGTAGGGTTTTTATTTTTTTTGAAAATTTAAGGAAGACATAAAAAACAAAAAAAAAAACAAAAAAAGACTAGAGGAATAGGGTTTAGCATTTCTTATCATAATAGAATTTAGGGTTGGTAAAACGAGCCAACTCGGCCCGACCCGACCCAACTCTCATTCAACTCGAAAAAACGAGTCGGGTTAGGGTTGGCTCGAAAAAAAAAATGAGCCAGAAAACCCAACCCAACCCGACGGGTTAGGGTTGGCTCGCGGGTTGCCTAAAAAATATAGCTCGTGGGTTGGTTTGAAAAAAATAGCATGCGAGTTAGCTCGCGGGTTGGCTCGAAAATTGTTCACGGGTTGACTCGTTTTCAGCTTATTTAAATGACCAAGTAGTATTAATGCACCTGCTATGTGGCTTCCATTAGCTTAAACAAAGGGTTACAAAATGAAAAATAAAAGCAAAATATTTCAGTTTCAAATTTTCTTTACAACAAATTTGCATCAACATCCAGAAACAATCAGAATCATTTGCTACTAAGTAGGTAAGATATTTGAACCAAATAGAGCTAGCACAACCTAACAATATAAAAATGGCATGGACATGAGAAGATTAGGGACTTAAGTTTAGAGAAGAAAGAAAAATGATGACAACATGTGTGAGTTTTGAACATTTTTGTATATTATATTTTGTATTTTCTTATAAAAAAAAAAACTCAACCCGCGAGCTGGCTCGTTTGACCCGCGGGTTGGCTCGTTTTTTCACGGGTTGAAACGAGTCGGGTTGGCAGCTCATTTTTGCCAACCCAACCCGACTCATTTTTTATGGGTTACGAGCCAACTCGACGGGTTGGCTTGTTTTGCCAACCCTAATAGAATTATTTCCTACACATATAAAAAATTGCATAGGGTCCATATTCTTTTTTTTTTCTCCTACCTCACATGGATTCCATATAATTTTATATTGGAAAAAGTGTTTATCCTTTTAAATGACACAACTTATATCATTTCACTCTCACAAAGAGGTGGGACCCACACCTTTATATTTTTCTGTCCACTCTCTCCTCTTTTATCTATCTCTTTCTCTCACTTAAAATGACACAACTTTACATACTTTTAAATGATACACATTTTTCCCTTTTATATTTGTACAAGACATAAATTTTTTCTCTTACATTGTTGGCCTCCCTATGAACATGGACCACCTTAGCATTCTGAACAATGGTGTTGTTCGAAGCACCCATCCCTGATAAGATTATGAGTCTGTCTCCAAGATCACCTGGCCAAATCCATGCAATCTGTAGGCCCAGCAAAGCTCCCCATAATTCAGCACTCACCCAGCTTCTTTGTGAATCCTACTAGCTTGTACTGGAACTGCTCATATGGCAATTAAGCCCCATCCACGTTCACCTTAATGTAGCTAGATTTTCTAAACAACTGTGAGTGAGACAATATATTTTTTATAGTTGTTCATAATATGTTGACTAGAGAGGATTGCTAGTGTATCTTGCATATAATAAAATTATTATGTATCCGAAGAAAAGGGTAGAATCTTTGGTATCATAACCGTAAACAAGATTTCCCAAAAATGTTTATCTATAGGAGATGAGATTTACTCGGATACAGATGCATCTTATACATTAGGTGAGAATAAATTATTATGTATCCGAAGAAAAGGGTAGAATCTTTGGTATCATAACCGTAAACAAGATTTCCCAAAAATGTTTATCCATAGGAGATGAGATTTACTCGGATACAGATGCATCTTATACATTAGGTGAGAATTCTTGTCTCAAATATAGTTGCACACCAATTCACTCAGCTGTATGCTACATAATTAATCAGTTAGCGGAACATATGAGCATGCATTACGATATCTAAATAATTCTTTTTTTCTTTCTTTCGATATTTATCTTTTATCATCTTTGTAAACATCTTCTTCTTCTTCCAAAATTCATTTGTGCTATTCAAAGCTAATTTATTATCAGCAAAATTCAGTAAATAAATCTCATACCTAGGAACTCTCCTGATAGTCATATATTTTGGGTTAAATTGATTCTTTATATGGTATCAGAGCTTCAGTGACCATAAGGTCACGAGTTCGATCCTCACCACACTTCAAGCCCAAAGGGCTCTTGTGTGAGGGGGTGTGTTAGAGAATAGTATAAACCATTAAAAAGACCCTCATCTAACACCTTAAAATTTTGGGTTGAATTGGTTCTTTGCATTGTATCAGAGCCCCAGTGGGCTCTCGTGTGAGAGGGCGTGTTAGAGTTATATAAAACCATTAATGTAACCTCACCCAACACGTAAAGACGTAATTAGGGAGGATAGGGAAGGGGGATTGGAAAGGAGAAAGAGGAATTGTGAGAGAGGGAGATAAGACTTTTGCCAAATAACTCATGCCATTGAGTGATTGATTTTTCATATTTAAAGGAATTGCAAATCCTAATCTAGAATTCAAATTGCTGAAAGGTAGGAACGTCTAATCCTAAAAATAAGCATTAACAACTAAGTCCTAAAAGTAAGTACTGGAATAACAACTTTCTCTAATAAAGCAATTGCTATTTTATTGAAACTAAATTAAATACTACTAATGGTTGGGCATGTCATGTGACATAGTCCATTAGACGTGTTGGGGCTTGCCGTTGACGTCTTGGCCTATCCGTGGTGGGCTGATCTGCTACATTCCCTTGTCCATCTAAATTATCCATGTCCTCATGGATGGAGATATTTTGTGATCCGCTACCATTCAATTTGAACCGCGTGTCTGGATGTGAGTCAACCTTATCTTCTGTCCGTTGGGTAGTGTGCATTGGAACGGCAGTGGGCAGTGGAGCGGCAGTGTCATTATGATTGAGTGGTGTCATAATGTCATGGGATGTTGCGTTTGTTGAACGCGTTGGAGATGTATTGGAAACACCATCAATCTCATTTGATACATCGTCTCCAAACATTGATTTCTCTTCTTCCCAAGTGGAGTCTTCTGGAGCGGAGTCTGACCATTGCACAAGAACCTCCTTGATTTTTTTTCCTCTTCTCCATATTTCTCGGTCGCCAAGTATGGCCACTTCCTGGTGGAGTGGTTTGTTGTCCCTCGTTTGCGTTGTTAACTGGTGGACTTTGTACGGCGTTGCTGAGACGAAGGGCCGAAGGAGGGAAACGTGGAACACTGGGTGAATCTTGGAGGAGTTAGGGAGTTTTAATTTGTACGCAACCGGTCCGAGCTTCTGTAATACCTCAAATGGTCCATAATATCGCAGAGAGAGCTTTTGTGTACTCCGTTTCTGCAAGGATATTTGACGGTATGGCTGTAACTTCAGTAACACTAGATCTCCTTCTTTAAACTCCCATGCTTTTCTTTTCTTGTCACTGTAAGCTTTCATGGATGCCTGAGCAGTGTTTAAGTTTTGTTTCAAACTTGTCATTATTTTGTTTCTTCTGGACAGATCTGTGTCGATTGCTTCCAAGTTGCTCGTTCCGAGACAGTATGTTAATAGATTCGGAGGGGGAATACCAAACGTTACTTCAAACGGTGTGAATCCTGTGGATCTGTTGAATGATGTATTGAAATGAAAATCTGCAAAGCTTAAGATCCTGGACTATGTTTTTGGGTTATCGTGGACAAATTCTCTCAGGTATTGCTCCAAACATCTATTAACTCGTTCTGTTTGTCCGTCGCTTTGTGGGTGATATGCTGAACTGTACCGCAAGTGAGTACCTTGGAGGGCGAACATTGCTTTCCAGAATTTGCTGAGAAAAATAGGGTCACGGTCGGAGATGATTGTTTTTGGAAAACCATGGAGTTTGCCGACTGACTCCCAGAATGCGTTTGCAACTTTTACCGCGGTTAAGGGTACGAAATGGCCTCATTTTGATAACCTATCCACAATCACAAAGATAACAGTAAAACCGTTAGAGTTAGGTAAATGGGTAATGAAATCCATGCATAAATCCGTCCAAATGGTGTTTGGGGGTGTGATAGGTTGCAGTAGGCCATAAGGGGAGTGATTTTGTGGTTTGATTTTCTGACAAATCTCACACTGTTGGACAAAGTTCTTAAAATCTCTCTTCATTCCTTTCTATGTAAATGTTTTGTTCATGCGTAGGTAGGTGTTTTGGATCCCAGAATGTCCTCCTTGCAAGGAACTGTGAAACTCGTGGAGCAACGTGTTCTTCAATGAGGATTTCGCTGGAATGAAGATTCTGCTTTTATGGAAAAGCAATTTTTTTTTTAAATTTCCAGTCCTTCCATTCATTTGGTTCTGTAATAATGCCCTGGATGACTGTAATAGTGTAGGCGTCCTCATTTAA